CAAGAGAAGCGCCGATACTCCGGCTGCTATAACAAATTAGGGAGACCTATGATGATGCTCCGACAAGGGACAAAGAAATTGTCGATGATATATAATGGGTCATGCGGTGTGCAGGATCACAGTAGATGGAAGTCTAATGTGTGTGAAAAAATAGTTGACGGTGAAAATGGATAATGTGTTAAATATCGAAAATGTGTTTAATATGGATGAGGAAGACTTTGTGAATATAGTGGACGAAGTGTTTGAAAATGAAGAAGAAATAGAGATTGACAATATTGACAATATTGACATTGATATTGAAGACGAAGAGCACGCATTGTCTGACGATAGTAATTACATAAGTGATCAAAGTGATGACCTTACGGATTATGCAGAAAAAATTGTCACCCGTTCGGAACTCCTTGCGTTGAATAATAATAAAAAGTATTGTTCAATACAATTTTATTATTCAACGAGTGCACTAACTCTGTGTGCCGAATGCATGGTTCGTCTGGCGGACACTGACATTGGAGTATTGTATGCCGTTAGGAAGCACGAGATAGATACTCTCAATGCGCTAAACAGCCGATTTTGCTCCAATTGCCAACAGTCCGTCTGTATGATAATGCCATGCAACATGTGCCCAATTTGCACAAATTGAAAAAAGACAACATTGTGAACGAGGCATATACAAGTGGAAGAGTGTGATGTGATATAAAAACAATATGGAAAGGTCATTGGAAGAATTAACAAGTTCTCCGTTATGGGATTCAATCTCTCATCTACCAGTGAACGTGGCTGTATATTTTATAAAGAGATACTATATCTCAACTCCCCATTTCCCGATTTCTCGTCCAAGAATTAAGGGACGCTACAATTCGACTCTCTGCTTCTCCGCTCCTTCTGAGAGAGCGGAAATAATTCTGGAAGCGTGCACATATTATCATTATAGAGGACACGCATACAATATATTATTATCTCTCTCGCGGCAAAAAGTAGCAGAGATAATTCCAGGAAGCGAGGATAATCATATATGGTTGTTCTATTCCCATCAATCTCCGGACATGTCGGAAATACAATGCTTTATATACTGGCTTCGAGTTAAAGCAGCTATAGAGAAAAAAAAGAAAGTAAAAAAAATGTAAAATGTTTTGATGAGACAGCACAACAATTTAAAAGAATCAAGATTTTGCAATATGGAACACCTAGAGCGAGTGGAACGCGAGCTGCTGGAGCAGTGCAGCCAAGTCGCTACCTTGGTGGAGTGTTTCGCGTGGTTGCAACGATGTGAGGAGTGCATCGAACAACTCGAGGAACTTAGCCGTGTTAAGCGTCCTCGACTCACCGTTGCAAATAGACAATCTGCGGTGGCGAGGATCGCACGACTCGCAGGTGCAAAAGTACAACTAGAAAGACGTTTCGTGCACGTTGGTGGTGAATACGCGAGCACTAGTAGAGACAATGGATCTCTCGTTTGGCGAATAATCGATACGGCATTTGAAAGCCGTATATTGACTGGTGCGGCGATCAATGTGGACTATATCGAGCCGCGACAATTTTTAGAAGACGCTGGTGGTGTAGTGCTCGAGCGAGTGCGAGACATTGTACAAAGACACGATAGTGTGAAAGTGAACACTGCATTTAACGGCGAGTTTGTGACGGGCGATAAATGCGCGAACAAAAATATAAACACTAAAAATAGTGAACTCTTTCGAGTATCAAATTTGGACGAGTGGTACGAGCAGTACGTTATCGAACCCACGTTGGCGTCGCTCGAAGAATTTCAAGAACGCGACAGTGGATGGGCGTTGTCGCGAATTCTAAATTTGACTGTAAACGTAAACAAATATAATCCAATGCACGCGGGATGTTACATCGAATTACCGCGGGAAATTATGTTAAAGCGAGCGGTGATCAATGTACGATCCAATGACAATGCGTGTTTCGCGTGGTCGGTGGTCGCGGCTCTGCATCCGGCTGAAAGGAATACAAATCGGGAATTGTCGTATCCGCATTATACGGTGTTAAATTTGCAAGACATTACGTTTCCGATGACGTTGAACCAAATTAAGAAATTCGAACATCTCAACGACATCTCAATCAACGTCTACGGTATCAAGGAAAAAGAGATTCTCCCGATATGGCTGACATCAAGGAAGATGGAGAAGCACGCAAATCTATTGTACGTGCAGGATCCGCGTGACGACAACGCGGAGCACTTTGCGTACATCAAAGATCTGTCCCGTCTTGTGAGCTCGCAAATAAACAAGAAGAAATGCAAGAAATACTTTTGCGACCGGTATATATTTTAACAAATTTTATTATTTCTCTTATAAAATTGTTTATTATAAAAAATCATATTTTCCGTTTGCAGATGTCTACATTACTTCAGTTCATCTGAAAGATTGCAATCACATACAACGGACTGCGAAAAGATGAACGATTGCGCCATCCGACTGCCGAGCGAAGACGACAAGTGGCTCGAAGAACCACACGAATAAGGAACGACTTCCATTCATCGTTTACGTGGACTTGGAGTGCGTACTACGGCGAACGGAACCGGCAGAGAGGGAAGATGCATCGTACACCTACCAGCAGCACGAGGTATTTAGCATCGGATACTACGTGCGATGCTCGACGATGTGTACGACGATGCGTTATCGGTATATCAATTTCGTCGCGACGAAGATTGCGTTGCATGGTTCGTTCGGCAACTCGAAGATTTGGCGCATCAAGTAAAAATTCTGTTATCCGCGAATGTCCCCATGGAAACGTTGTCGAGAGAGCAGTGGGAGGCACATCGTAGCGTGACGCGTTGTCACATTTGCGAGAAATCATTTGCGTCGGACGACACGCGGGTACGCAATCATTGCCATCTTACCGGTCGTTACCGTGGTCCCGCGCACTCAAATTGTAATCTAAATTATAAAGATTCATATTGCATTCCCATAGTATTTCACAACTTATCCGGTTATGACGCGCACTTTATCATCACGGAAATAGCTACGGCGTTCGAAGGCAGGATCGACGTGCTGCCGATAACAAAAGAAAAATATATTTCGTTTACAAAACATGTTCAAGATACCACCGAGAGATCAGATTCGCGAAATTGCATACGCTTGCGGTTCATAGATTCGTACAAATTTTTAAATACCAGCCTTGATAAATTGGCATCTTTTCTAACGAAAGAAAAATTAAAAATTTTACGTTCCGAATTTTCCACGATTTCAAACGAAGATTTTGATTTGTTGACGCGCAAAGGTGTCTTTCCGTACGAATACGTGGGTGGCGCGGACAAGCTGCAGGATACGCACCCACCATCGCGCGAATCGTTCTATAGCTCGTTGACCGGTGACACGATGTCGGAGAACGATTACGCGCACGCCGCGAATGTCTGGCAGCGATTCTCCATCCGGATGCTTGGCGAATACAGCGATTTATATCTCAAGACCGATGTCTTGTTATTGGCCGACGTTTTCGAAAATTTCCGCGAAAGTTGCGTTACGAGTTATGGACTCGATCCCGCGCATTACTACACATTGCCAGGTTTCACGTGGGACGCCATATTGAAACATACGCACGTAAAATTTAAGTTGCTCACCGACATCGATATGGTTATGTTTATCGAACGCGGTATACGCGGCGGTCTCACTCAATGTTCCGGCAGATACGCGCAGGCCAATAACAAGTACATGCGTTCGTACGACCCGTCGAAACCGTCATCATACCTTATGTACTTTGACGTAAATAGTCTGTACGGATGGGCGATGTATCAACCGCTGCCCTATGCCGAATTTCGATGGAAGACATTGAGAACTTTGATGCGAGCGCGATCGCTCCGGATTCGTCTACGGGTTATATTCTCGAGGTCGATCTCGAGTACCCGCATCATTTGCACGATCGACATACTGACCTACCTTTCTGTTCGACGTGCGATAAACCACCCGGCACGCGGCAGGATAAACTTCTCGCCACGTTATACGATAAGAAACGGTACGTCATCCATTATCGTAACCTGCAGCAATGTACGCGCCATGATCTTCGTATCGCAAAGATATCGCGTACTACAATTTGCTCAATCCGCCTGGCTCCGCGATTACATCGAACTCAATACACACTTTAGAACGTACGCGAAAAACGATTTCGAAAAAAATTTGTACAAATTAATGAACAACACGGTATTCGGTAAAACAATGGAAAATGTGCGCAATCACGTCGACGTTAAACTTTTGATCAAATGGGACGGACGGTATGGCGCGGAGGCAATGATCGCGAAACCATATTTCCACAGCCGCAGCGTCTTTGCGGAAAACTTAATCGCCGTTGAAATGCGTAAACTCGAGGTAAAATTCAACAAGCCGATTTACATGGGTATGTGTATACTCGACATATCGAAAATCTGCTTGTACGAATTTCACCACGAATACATGTCACCGCTGTATCGCGAGAAATGTAAGATCATGTACACCGACACGGACAGTCTCGTATACCACATCGAGTGCGATGATGCGTACGAGGCGATAGAAACGCGATATCGCTAGATTCGATACGAGCGATTATCCGACGGACAACGCGTACGGGATGCCTCTCGC